ACACACACACACACACACACACACACACACACACACACACACACACACACTGGTAAGGATGGTGGTGGTAGTGAGTCTCAGTGGTCACTCTGCAGGGGAAGCCTGACAGTCCAGGTCCACCCATAGCCCAGGCTTCTGATTAGCATTTCAGTGACCACAGCACAAGCTGTCAGGAATGAACAGCCATTCGGGGTTAGCCAGATAGCCACTTACATGAGAGACGTAGGCTAACACCATCAGAAAGCAAATGCGGAGAGCAGGGATGGCCACGTGAGGACTACTCCAAAGCAACCCCTGCCACTGTCATCAAAGCTGAGGTACAAGGTCCCACAAGACCAAGAGCAAGATTCTCCAACAGAGAGCTTCCCTAAGACCTGATGCCTAGGAACACCAGTGGCCAAGCATAATTCCCCACTGGAGGATTGGAAACAAGGAACTATCTGGACAAAAGGCTGAGGTGGTCACACAAAGTGAAGAGACTGGGTGGGCCTGCTGGGGAAGGATTTGAGGTTTCTGGAAGGGAAAGTAGAAGAGACAGAACAAGAAAACTCATGAAAGAAATTCAAAAGAGCCAGCAGAGACAAGGTCACCGAGGGCCTGGGACAGTGGATTAAATGGCCACTTCAACTTAGCAAATGAAAGAGTGGGGAATGTAGCAATTGCCCCCCCCTTCCCCCTGCCCCGGGAGGCTGTGATCACAAGGAACCAGAACACTTACTGCTGCTGAAAAGTGTCATCTCCGTCACCGGCTCCCCACCGTGGTTCAGGGCCGGTACCTACCCACAGCTGTGAGATAAATGGGAGTTAGCCAGACAGCAGCACCTGCAGCCTTGGGCAGGAAGCCAGTTCCCACCTGCCCCCCTCCCCGCCCTCCGAGGAGGTGGCTGAGCCACGTGACAATTTCAGCTCAACTCAAGATGCAGCCTCTTTTTTCACCTTGGGTTCAGGTGGTCAAGATGACTCTGTAATTCTACAGCACCCCTCACACCTCAGACACCAGACCTCAGACATTCCCCATATCACATGCCTCCAATACTCCAGACACCTGCTGTCCCCCCACATACATATACCTGCCCTTCCCAGAAAAGGAAATCTCATAGCTGGAGCATCTTGGAAGGGGACTCAGCCCCTCCCCCTCAGTCCTTTGCACCTCCAGCTTAATGAGCACAAGCTGCTGGGGGCGCCTGGGTCACACCTTCTCACTTGATTGAAGCACAACATGGATCTGGCTGGCAGGGGTTTGTTCATGAGGGGAACTTCCGCAAGCTGTGAACACATTACCTTCTGCAGGCGGCTCTGGGAGCCGCTGTCGCCTGTTCTCGGGGAGACTGCACTGGTGTCCTGGTAAGGCCCGGCCCTAGGAGCACCGGGGACACCTGCACCTGGTGACTAAGAGAAGAGGCCATGACAGACTCTGACCTGTTGCGGGCTTTCTGTGTCCAGGCTGGTCCAGCCTACGTGGAACGGGGCTGACCTGAATCTATAGCTAGACACTGCCAATGGTTATGTGCGCTTCCAGGGAGGTCTGGAAGGGACCATAGCCTTCTTGTTCCCTTGATTGATCGATATGTGCCTAGGGAATCCAGCATCCATGACATGAAGACTCGGGGACAGCCTGTGGAGGATCTGCCTGGCAAAAACCAGAGGCTTCTGCACACCACTCCATGAAGAGCCTGCTGGCCAGCAAATCCCACACCACCTGTGGACTCTGAAGGCCACCTACAACGTTGTGGGAGGCTTAAGCAGTGCCCTTCTGTGTTATCCTGGATTCCTGATGCTTCTAACTGTGTAGGGTAACTTTGTTATTTTCACCCATGAAGTTTTGGTCTCATATATATGAAGACATGGTGTCATATATTCCAGACCGCCCTCAAACTCATTATGTAGCTGAAGATAAGGATGACCTTGGACTCCTGCTCCTTCTGTCTCTGTTGTTCAAGCTCTGGGATTACTTTCATGTGCTACCATACCCAGTTTATGGGGTGCTGGGGATTGAACCCAGCATGCTGGCTAAGAGCTTTACCACCTGAGCCATATCCCTAACCCTGTAAGCAGTGACATTCTGAGGCAGTGTGAACACAGCAATAGAGGAGTAATGCAAGACTTCCATCAGTGAGGGCTGTGTGTGTTGGCAGATGAACTTCCTGGATAAAGAATCCCACGTAGGACACAGTACCAGAAGAGCAAACACTAGACAGGCACCATTCTGTTACAAATCATCTTTATAAATCGATATCACAGAGCAGTAAGGACTCACACAATTTGGTTCAAGAATCAGGCTTCAAGAAAGGCTGTATGTGAAAAGTGACGGATTGGTTCCCCAAAGGCCAGCAGTATAGAGACATGGGGAGCTAGGAGGAGCATGTTTAGCAAAAGGGATGGCAGGACAAGGTCAGTGTGTCAGGGAAGCCAAGGTGCTCATTTGAGGGTGCCTGGATGGTACACAGGATGGGAGGCTGTGGGGGTGTGGGAGTCAGAGGAAACTTCTAGAATTAAAGAGACTAGTAACTAATTGGAGGGAATCAGGTCTGCTGGAGAGTCACTATGGGCTATAGCCAGGGCCTTGAGGCTCTGACTCATCATGGTGAGGTAACCCTGAGCCCATGAGGCAGATACGTGGGGTTTGCTGAGGAAGTGGAGGAGGAAATAGGCAGAGGCGATGGGTTGGAGATCAGAACTTTGGATGACCATGTAGTTCATGATGGTATCAGCCTGAGGACACTGGTGCTCCAGGGTCATCCTGAAGCCGATGGTTGCTCCAGCTGGGAAGCAGACTCAAGGAGGTCATGACAGATGAGCCCAAAGGGTGAGGAGAGAAGAAATCACAGGACTCAAAAGGCAGCTGCCACCCATGACCTGGTTCCTACTGTGCAATAAGTAATGGACACCTTAATCCAAGTCCCCAGCCCCTGCTCAGAGCTACTGATAGGTTCCTTGACTTAGGGTGGGATTACATCTTAGTGAACCCCTTGGAAGTCCATAAAGCATTTTAGGTGGGCGTGATGGGGTGGGGGCTGGGGAGATAGCTCAGAGGATGTGAGTGTTTGCTGCACAACCATGGGGTTCTGAGTCTGGATCCCCAGCACCCTTGTAAAAAAAAAAAAACTGGGCATGGTTATGTGTGCCTGTAACCCCAGTAAACTGGTTGTCATCTAAGCTGAAAACTCTGTGGACTTCAGTGAGAGACCCTGTCTCAAGGGGATGAGTGGAGAACAATAAAGGATACCCAATTCCCTCCTCTGGTGTGGATAATGACACATACACACACACACACACACACACACACACACACACACACACACACACATATGCTCGCGCGTGCACCACATGTTGAGCTTGGTGGTGCACACTTGTATCCTAACACTTGAGAGGCTGAAACAGGAGGATCATGAGTTTGGGGCCCACTCATGGGCTACATAAACCCTGTCTCCAAAAAAGTCTTAGCAAAAAAGACTTCATGCACACAACCTAAAAATACGGTGGCTTAGCGGTAGGACACAGCGGTGCCGTGTGGTCTCTCTCCTGGCCGTGGCCCGTCACTGCTTTGCATCATCTTGAGGGAGCATCATGCTTCAAGTGGCTGGTCTAGGGAGAGATCAGTATCTAAAATCTACAGTTTCTACCGAATTCAAACTCGTTCACACCGTCATGAAGCTGAGGATTTTGGTGTTGGGTTTGGTGTGGGATTCCTAACGCACTTGTCAGTGTCCTGAGCAATGGGAACTCGGATAAGATGTCTATATTTTGGGTTTGTTTGTGGTCCCTGACTCATAGCCACCTCTTTAACAAGTCATAGAAATTAGAGATTAGAATTTCTCTTCTTCAAGCAGGTCACAGAAGCTCAAGTCCCCAAGAAGCATCTAGATAGACAAGCCTTGCTGAGTATCCCCAGCTGGGCACAGGGGTTAGCTCTCCCTTTGCCCAGCCACACCTCCACATGCCCATGGTTCTGTCATGCCCAGACTATGATGTCTGTATAAAAGCCAAGGAGGAGAGGAGAGGGGAGCCTGTGGGCAACTGAACACCCTGGAGGTTGGCATACCCAAACTGTAGAGTCCGAAGTTCTGCATCAGGGACACTGCCAGCCCTTTCCCTATCTATCTCTCTTGTCTAGCTGGCCTTCTTATCCAGATTTACTTCCTTTTAAATAAACCAGTAGACATTTCCTTGAGTTCTATGAGCAGCTTCAGCAAACTGACTGAACTGGCTAGTCAGAAGACAGGATTTAAAGCCAGGCGGTTGGAAGCACGGACCACGCTCTGACTATTTCCATTTTTGGCTCCTCTCTCTCTATCCATGCCTAGCCCACAAGGCCCACTGCCCATGTAAAGACCTCACTCACACAGCCTCTCTGTCCATGTCTACACCTCATCTACACATCCCCTCTGTCCACATTGTCTATACTTCCTCTACACAACCCCATTGCCTGGGCTTGGAGAAGGTTCTGGGCATGTTCCAGGAACCCACAGAGGGCCTGACACTACATTTACTCCAGTACATACAGCACATGGCCGGCCTCTTCTGAGGTGTGAGTAAACAAAGCAGCCCTACAGGGACATGTGGTAGACAGGGCACCGTGTGGGACTGACTTGGGGTTGGAGACCCTGGCATGGGCATGTTGAGACCCCAATCCTGCCAGAACGCCTTTCCCATGAAGCCATGAATGCCAGGCCTCACAGGGCAAAAATATCCAAGTGCCACATATGTGGGTTCCTGCAGCTGACACCAGCTTGGCGTGGGTGGCTCCCAGGGACTGGCTCCTTCCACATGGCACAGCAGCACAGCTGCCAGCTTTGTGAGGCAGCTGTGAGAGGCGCCCCGCCTGCCCCTTGAGGTGCCAGTTGGGAGGCAGCCGACTCTCTTCCGCAGACTACCTGTGGCTGGGGATATATTTCCTGGCGACTGGAAATTTGATTTGTTTCCAAATCTTCCATCCGCTTCCCACCTGTCACTCCTCCTGCCTCGCTCCTCCTCGCCCTCCTCCGCCTTCGATCGGCAGCCCCAGCCCCCACCAACCTCATCACAGCCCATGTGCCTCTCAGCGGCAGCGCCAGGCGGCAGGCACCACCTACACCATCTGAGGAGTAGCATCTTCCTGCCACTTGTGCCAGGCTGGGGCAGATGAGAACTGTCAGTGCCATGGGCCAGGGCTCCCTGAGCTCCCATATTGACCCCCAGGGAGAGAAGTACCAGTCTGAGGCCCCGGAAGCTGAGAGAATCCAGAAACGAGGGCCAGGTTTTGTGCTGCCTTTGAGGCATGGAAGGGAGCCTATACGATACAGCAAGGCTCCGCACGAGCTGAGGGAAACGGATGTGAATGGGGAGATCCACCGAGGCTACGGCCTGAGCGGGAGCCCCAAGCAGACCGTGTGTGTGCATTAAATGAACCCCTCAGCCTGAGGAAGAAGCTGGAACACGGCTTAGAACGCTTCCATTTCCCAGGTGTGCTTCTATCCGAGATTGCTCTTTCTGGCATCCAGGTCACCCCTGACTCTGCAAAGGGCCCCAGGTATGTGGCCTATGGATAGCACCTGGTCTGACCCGGGCTTCGAGTGCTGGGATAAGATGATGGGAGTTCCTCCGTTCTCCCTGGCACAGCTGTGTGGGAGGGAGGGAGGGAGGACTGAGATTAGGATGGACTGGAAAGGGAGACAGGACCCCGTGAAGGGGTTAGGCCTTTGAAACCTTCTCCTCAGGGAAGACTCTCAGGGTATTCAAAGAGTCAGGAGTCAGGAGGGGCTGGCACCCACCCCTGGGGGAGACTGGCTCCTGAGAGTGAGTCACCGACAGACCCAGGTCCCCAAGGCTGACCCCCACGTAAGGCCACTGGGCTGCTACAGTAGGAAGAAGCAGCGCAGGACTGTGGGGGTGGGGAGAGCAAAGCCTTGAAAGGAAGAAAGAACAAGTATTTAAAAAATAAAATGAGCCAGGCAGTGGTGGCACACACCTTTAATCCCAGCACTCGGGAGGCAGAAGGCAGGTGGAGTTCGGGGTCAGCCTGGTCTACAGAGTGAGTTCCA